GAAAGGTTGGACCAGATGACCCTTGAGGTCCCTTCTAAGCTAGTATTCTATAATTCTATGACTGAATTCATAGGCTGCCCCCAAGCCCAGCCTTTGTGTCTCAGTACAAGGGTTATGTTATCAGATGTACAGCAAGATTTCTGTATCTGGCAGTGTCTTAACGTTTCTCTTCCACTCTCACAGCTATGAAGCTGACTGAACACGAGGTAAAAATAATTAGGATTACAGGCATCTTGACTATAAACATTTCAGCCCTGCCTGGATCATGCTAGACAGCTGTAAAATTAACTCACCTTTCACCACTTAGCAAAAAAACATTTGAGGATAAGTTTATTTCTCACCAAATTTTCTGGAGCGAATAAAACAAAAGGTAGAGAAGAGCATCATGCAAACTTAAGACAAACCCCAGCAAGCTCCCCTGTGAACCACACGCCTAACTGAATGTGCAATACGGAGCAGAAGGCAGTTTTCTCTCAAATGGCAAAAACTATAAATTATTTCTGGTTACTGTTTTAGGGATTAAGTTACAGAATACATAGAAAAGGACGTATCAGCTGTGGACAATATGAACAATAATTACTTGCTACCAAGGCTGATTTTCATTTTTTTTTTTTTAAATAACACAAACCCAAACAGTTATAACCAAGACCTAAGGTGCAGGTGGTATTTTCTTGAATTTGAGGAGTCTGACAACTACATGAAAATGTGAACAATTGTGCATATCTTTTGTAAGACAGAAATTCATCTTCTGGTTTATTTACGTAATTTCCCAAGGATTAAAATGACATTCCCTTTTTAAAGTGAACCTAGGACAGCATCAAGTGAATATATGAAAATTAACATCATATATAATTTTTTTTTTCTTAACTAAATAAGAACGATTTGCTTGCTCGGATGCCAAGAGATGGTATATGACCTTTGAAATGGAGACTTTTGTTATGAATTCTGTAATTTTTTTAAGGAAGAAAATGACAAAAATTGTAAAAAAAGTTAACTTATGGTACACATACAGACCTTTAAAAATCATATTCCAGTTATGTTCTAGCAATTTTTCTTCTTGCTTTGAAAAGTAGGAATTACTATAATCAGTGTATAGAAATGTTTTGAAAAGTCAACTAACAGAGGTAAAAAAAAAGGACAGTTTTAATTGTAACCATTAAAATTTAAATGTCAGATGCCCAAATTTTACAATGCCTTTCAACTGTTTTGTTTTAGAACATCATTAATGTACAGAACACTCCACAAATCTTTTTGTGAATGAAATTTTTATTTACACACTGTATCCAGAAGCAGATACATAAATCCTTATACAATTATTTTTCAAAAATGTGCAAGAAATTACTATAATTTTGTTTACAAACCAAAACACATTAAAATCAATGGACTTTGGATAATTCACTCTGTGGCGTGCTTAGTACAAATAGTGCACACCAGGTCTGAAACAGAGAAAAGTGTAAACTACAGCAATCTGGATTGCAAGTATTAACTTCATGGCACTCCATCATCACTATAAAAATTCTTTAACCCAACATGTATTCATACAAAATTCTTTAAGAATTGTTATCTATGTAGAATTTAGAACACTCTCCAGATACAATAATGCCATATTTCCCATATTATGAACTACAATCTAGCCCATTTTTTATTTATAAAGAATGCTTGCAATTTTTATTCTTTGCAGTCGTAAAAAGAGTTTAAGAAATTAAATTGGCAATCATTAATTTATCCATAGCTTAGCTCAGAATTTGAAAGTTCAGTAACAGAGAAATACTTCTCATCAGAATCATAGCTCATATATTGCTGGTATGGTGTTTTAAATTTATAATTCCAGAATTCACATAGATGAAATGCATCAAAACAAAACCTGCACAGATTTCACTTAGCCCAGCAGTCAAAATTCACAGAAAGAAATTGGCTTTAACAAAATGGAAAGTCAGCTCATCTGAGAACAAAGAGTTTAATTAATAATTGCATTTCTGATCCTTCTGACAGAAAAACATTTTGATAAAAAGATGGCATTCATTCTGCCAACAGCAGGATAAGTGCTATATCCTTCAAACAGATCAAAGAATACAAATCACTTTCAGTTGTTTATAACACTGGCTTACAAAAAAAAAAAAAAATCAAACCTACAGAGAAAATTGTGCAAATTTATTTTTCTATTTCCAAATACAAGGTGTTGTTTTACTCTTCTAATTGGTAAAACAGACAATGTTATCAATATTGTCAATCACTTCAGATGCTCAGAAAAAGGAGTTTTATTTCAAAGTTTCATTTTCAAAAACATTTTTCCACAATTCAACTGCATAAAAGCATACCTTTTGAACCCTTAAACTGTTGTGCTGAATAAATAGCCATATTTCTACTCTGTAAAGATTACAGTCAGTTAGCTTTTATTCCTAGTGTATCTACTTCCAAAGGTCCCCAAAATATCCTCATATTCTTTTCATTTGCCAAGGACACTTTGTTCCTCTAATTTTCACGAAGCAGAAGTCAACACAATTTTTGTAGTTACTCCAAGTACTTCTAAATTGTCTCATAACTAAACGTTACTGTGTTTCTTTAATATTAATCTTTATTATAAGAAATTGTAAGTATCTTTAATGTTTTCAAAGTAATTTTTCTGGGTTCCTTCTGCTGGCTGGCCAGTTACCTCAGCATGAAAAAAAATACTGCAAGGTTCTGATTAATGAAACATGTAAAAGTAAGTATTTGTGTCTACTTACTACAGATTTAAAGTATTTTGAGCTTAGTAGAAATATCACCACCATTTTTTATTTAGAAACAAAGTGCTATATGGTTCTCACATCCTAGACCTCAACCATTTTACAGTGTTCCTTTTGTGGAAGCTTTACTGGAGGGAGGGGGGATGACAAAGTTAACTTGACCTGATTAAGTTCGCAGATGAAGAACACAGCAAGGAAGGCAATTCAAAAACTGGATAGCTGAACCAAAGTTTAAAAAAAAGCATCAACACAACAACCTGAAATTTATAAAGGCATGGGCAAGAAATTTAGCATGTGCGCTCCTGCACGTTTTTCAGTTCAGCAATAAGACCAGGATATTATAGCTTCAACTATTTAAGTTTCAATGCAATGACTGCTAAATTAATGCATGTGGTGTAGTATAAACATATGTTTAATGCATTCAATAGTGGTATTAAATGGCAAAGAAAATATTTAATATACTATAATCTTTCAAAGATTCTGTAGAATGCATAGGTCCTCTAGCTTGTCCGGGGAAAGAATTTTTAAAGTGAAGAAAATGCCAGAGGTTTTCTTCCAAAAGTATGCATCTGAAATCCATAAAAATGATTTTCTTTTTCCTCCCCACAGACAGAATCAGAACACTGTACCATACAATAGGTTATTGTGCCTTTTTGAATAAAGTTAGAAATCCTGATTCGAGGGAGGGGGAGGGAAGTCAGTAGAGGAAAAAAAGAAAACAGAATTCACACTTGCATACATATATCTCAATGGCAGAGCCAACAAATTACGCATATAGACTGCTCTAGATTTTTTTTTTTAAGTTTAAAACTTTATCAGACTAAAGAAGAAATCCTTATTCTCCGTCCCTTAAAAGCAAAGGTAACCTTTATCTACCTTTGATTTTCTTTTTTTATTTTTTAGTTAAACATTATGGTCAAAAAATAAATTAAAAAAATATAAATTTAGTCTATCAATTCAGGCAACCCAAGATGTAGTGCTATTGCACCACCTTGCAGCAATACTGTATTCATTACTAAAGACTCATTTCAGGGGACAAAAGGCTAGATTAAACAAGAAGAAAATGACCTAAACAAGAAAGTTGTATCAAAGATGAATAACCTTTCCTAAACTGATGTTTACTGACTAGCAAACTAGCAACTCCTATCAGAGATAGGGAAGATGACATTCTAGAATACAAAACAGGGGGGCAGATGCAGGCAAAGCAAGCTTCTGTCCCAAGTGAGCCAAGACTCCTTTAACAAATAACTCATAAAAGTGACAGAATCATGGGGGAAAAAAACCTGAAACAAAAGAGGAAAATGCCATGGATTAACATTGCATGATGAAAATATTATAGTGTAGAACCTGTACTCCCCATTGAAAGTCTTTTTTTTAAAAAAACCTACAGAAGGTTAGAATAACTGTAAGCTTTTCAAATGCCAGAATCTTTGACAGATCAATCTTAATTGATTCAATATTTCATATGTCAAAACGTATTTCATGACAATAAACTGAAACATTTTCTGAGGTCAATGTATACCCAAACCTCTTTTTCCCATATTTTCAAAGGCTATGAGAACAGAGCTTTAGAGATACATTTTAATCATCTTCCATCCAAAATGTTATATCAGTCCTGTTCCTTCCTCCGCAAAAGATATCCAAAAAAAGGGGAAAACGATCCCAAGGACAGTAGTGTATTACTGCATTTCTGAAGTGACAAATAATGCAGAAAATTGTAAAATTTCAAGTAGTTTGAATATACATTGTAGAATCATCCTATCAGATTTTTTTACCCCATCCCTAAAATGGCTTATCAATTTATGTTCCCATAATAACAATAATAATTCCTAGAGTCTTCCTACAAATCCAGGAAATTCCCTTCCCAAGAGGAGGTAGGAGGGAAAAGGACAGAAAGAGGGGACCTGGTAGGTGTTCATTTATTTAACTGATGTCATGATTTTAAAAGGTAATATTTGACAAGGCCCCAATACCGTAATTTCCTTATAGGTACTACACATCGACTTTCACAGACTTTTTTTTTTTTTTTAAAGGCCATTTTTAGAAGGACAAAATACTGAGACAAGAAGAAAGCTGAACCAACCTTCTCAAATACAAAATAACGTACAGACAATACAAGGCTTAGGAGACAGGGTGGTGGGTTTTCTTCCAAAGATATGCTGCATAACCATGTTCTTATCACACAGCTCTGTCTATAAGTTCTACATTAGGGCATATCTCTATAGAAATTTATAATTAAGATACTAGGAAATTGTTTTTAACATAGATGTATATTCTGTAATTTAGAATACCAACATGTTTTTTATCCACGATCTTTTTTTTTTTTTTTAAACAGGCTATTTTAAAGGAAAAAAAAATTCCATTCAACAAGTTTCATTTGACTTTTACTTATGGTTGAATACACATGAAATGTGCTTTCAATGCATAAAAATCACAGTGGATAGCAGCAAAGGACTTGGGGGAAATTAAGGAGAATTTGATCATTCACATTGTGATTAATCTGCACATTGATGAAAGATAGCTATTTCACACTTCTAAAAATAAACTTGAGATCATTCTTTCCAAAAATAAAAGCCCCCCAAAATACACAACCCCCCCAAAACAAACATAAATCCAAATGCATTACTTTTCTTTTACACACAAAAATGAAATATTTTTATGGCAGCAAAAGATTTTGATAATGAAAGTCTGTAAACTGTAATTCAATCTCTTTTTGTTGTTGTTGTTTCCAAAGTGCAAGATGCAAGATTCCCATAAGCTTTCAGTAGTGCTTTTCCTGTAAATAATCCTTCATTTTGTTTGGCAAAGGCAGTTTCTGAATCAGGTCTATTCTGGTGTACTGACGTATTACAAAACGACACAGGTATTGTAAAGAACGCACCTGCATAAACCGAGACACTGGATTTGTCAGTCTCACTGGGTAAGTTGCAGATCCAGGCAGTCGGGATCTTGAATAGCAGAAAGCTCCATTTTCAGAGTCCCTGATTGAATGTTCAATTAAGTCAACTATAGATGTATGTCCCTCCACATCTGGTTGTTCATAAAAGCTAAACCTACCATTTGAGTGTTCAATTCTAGTGTGAAGAGTTTTTCCATGGGAACGAAAACTCAAACTTAAAAGATAACGATCATCAGAACTATCTCGAACGAGAAACGAGCCATCAGGCACATTAGCTAATTTTCCCTCTGCCTCCCAACGTGTAATGGGGCCCCAGTACCATCCTTGTTTCGCAAGCTTTTTCAGTTCTTCTGTGAGACTTGTCACAACCATAGGACCACTGTTCTGTACAGAATCATAAACTCTTCCAACTCCAGGGGCAGTGTTAGGATCAAAATTCAAATGGCAGCGCATACTTTCAGCCACATGGGCATCTGTGCCATTCAATCCATTGAAGTTCCTTTGGATTTGATTATTCTGCATTGGAGGTAGCAAAGGTGAGAGTGGAGGGACATCGCTGTGATTAACTCTTGGGCTTTGCAACATGACTCCTGTGGTACCAATTAACAAACCATTCACCGTCTGGTCCACAAAGATATCTGGTGCAACGACTACATCCTGATCCACCTGACTCTCTTCTTCGTGGAAAGCGTTTCCGCCTACTTGAGAAGAAACAGTTGAAACTTCCATGGGTGAGGAACTATCCAGACAGTAACTACGTGATCCTTCCAAAGGATACATTCCCTCATCTAAAGGCACAGTATACTGAATGTAGTCCTGAGGCATTAATCCAATAACTACAGGCACATGTTCATCAATATGAAGATGCAAGTCTCCATTCTGAGATTCCGTATTTTTTAATGCATTGTTTTGTTCCTGGAACACGTTTTCTGACTGCAAGTCATGGAAGTCCTTTCGAACACCATTCAGTGCTGGGCTTGGATTAGAGGAATGGACCAAGGCCTTGACTTTCACTTCCATTTTGATGCAAGTCTCTTCTGAATTTGTAGGTCGAAGGGGCCACGGAGTTGGACTGTAATGGTGATTACGGAGGGAAGTGGATCTCAGAGGTCTTTGAGCTCGTACATCTTTGAAGGTTATTGGAGCAGATGAGGAAGAAAAGGTGTCATCATCTGCAGAGCTCACAGATGGTGTGCTGCCTTTGCCTTTCTGTTTTTGCTTTGCTGAAAGCCTCCTTTTTAACGTACCCATTAAGCTTTCACTTTTTGATCTATTTTTGCCTCCTTTTTCATCTTCACTATTGACTTCACAGCTAGCCAAATCTTTACCATAGCAGCTGCCAAACAAGGAGTCATCTTTTCCAAATTCACTTAACGATGGCTGCTGAAACACT